AAACCCAGAAGGAGTTTCTGAATGCTAGGCCTGGCCCAGCCCTGAGCCATTGCAGGCATTTGAGGAAGTGATCCAGCCAAAGACTCCCTCTCTCCCTCTCCCTCTCCCTCTCCCTCCCCCTCTCTCCCTCTCTCCCTCTCTCCCTCTCTCCCCCCTCCCCCTCCCCCTCCCTCTCCTTCTCCTCTCCCCCTCTCCCCCTCCCCTCTCCTCTCCCTCTCTCCCCTTTTCTGATAAAATAAAAATGTAAAAAAAAATAAAGCATGGAAGTGTTTTTTAAAGACTTTCCCAAAGAAAGAGGCAACTACTATTTCCGGTACATTTCACCTCCATAAAGGGCTCCCCACGCCTCCCTTGATTCCCTGAAAAGTGCTTTTCCTGAAGCCCAGTGACCTTGGAAGGGGAAACGTTCAAACAAAAGGCAGTCCCCAGCACCCCAGCACCCCAGCACCCCAGCACGCAGCCCTGGCTTCGGGGCAGATCCACAGTTCTCCAAAGGCAGGGCCCTGGCCCAAGGCCTCTGAAACCGGCAGAGCAGCGGGCAGCTTGAGCACTTGCCTTGCGGTCAGAGAGCTTCAGCGCTCTGAAGATCCTGAAACCCTGTAGGAAAATCAACCCAAGAGATGCAAAAGGCCACACCCCCGCCTGCCGGGCAGCATTTTCAGAAGAACCCCCAGGCTCCTGCATTCAACGCCCCGTTTGCTTGCAAACTGCAGATTCCTCCACGAGTGAGTGGAATGTCGGTGGCGGCACTTGCCCTTCCTGGCAGGGTCGTGTCCACACAAACCGCTTGGATGACTGACACACAGCTGGTCCACAGAACCCAAGCCAAAGCCCCAGGTTTAGCCCACACGTGCATGTGGTCTTTCAGACAGTAAAACTCTCACATTCTCTCCTCACCATGAAGTTTGCTCCCACATCAAGCAGGTGCAAAGCCATGAGACAGCACATATGGGGGTGAGTGGAGTGTTGAAGGCAAACAGCGGCATTGTGAGGAAGGCTCTTGCAGGACCAAGCTGCCCCAAATTCTCCAAAACTTCACCCTGGGCGTTAGAAAAGCAAGATCATTGAGTCTGGGCATCTTTATGGGACGCAGAAACCATCTCGCAAACAAATGAACAAAGGCTTCCCATTTTCTGACGGGCTTTCTTCCTCAATCTCAATCTTTTTAAAATGCCTTTTAAATGGATTCGGCAATGCTCCTGCACGCAGAGGACTGGTCAGCAGCAGTGGGGCGTCTGTCCTGTGCGAATCCCTCTCTCAGCCCACCAAAGGCTCCTGACCCCGCGTCCCCCGTCCCCCGTTTCTCTGCACCTTGGCTGGAGGCGGCTGTTGCCCAGGGGGTCCTGCAGCATCGCCCTCACATTTTAGAGATCACGCGCACAGTGTGGCCACTCCTCCTAGACCAGTGATGCTCTACCCTCAGTGGCCAGGTTCCTGGGTCTCTCCCCAGAGACCCCTGTGTCTGCCTGGGCTGGCACCCGGAGCCTGTTATGGTTCTGACCTGGAGCTGCACAGCTGGACAACTTGGAGGTGACAGATGAGACCACAGACACAAGTCCCCTGAGAACTCCCCAGCCCCAGCCCAGGGGCCTTTGGGGGAGGGTGCCTCTCCCGGGGGGCACCAACATGGCAACATCCGGGGTGGGCAGGGCAGTTAGCCTGGCAATCAGTACGTGCGCATCCCACATCAGATTGGCCTCAGTACCTGCCTCCGGTTCCAACTCCAGCTTCTGGCTCACGCAGACCCTGGGAGGCAGCGATGGCGCTAGTGGTGGGCGATTGGATTGCTGCCATACACCTGGCTTGAGTCCCCTGGACCAGGCTTCAGCAAGGGATCTCTCTCTCTCTCTCTCTCTCTCTCTCTCTCCCTCTCTCTCTCTCTCTGATGAATAAAGAAAAATTTAATTAAAGAAAAAATGTAACGCCAAGAGCGGTCTGGCAGCTTGTCACAGGCGACAGCTATTCTGCCAAGTCATTCCTGGGGTGCGGCCTGGGGGCAGAGGATCAGCCCGTCCGGCTTCCCGCCCCAGCTGTCTCTTCCGACCCGTCAGCCCCAGCCCCAGCCCCAGCCCCAGGCCCGGGGCAGCTGTCGGTCCCTTCCCCGTCCCCCTACCCGGGGATCCCGCGGGCTCCTCGGGCCCGCCTTCTTCATACCCTGCCACCTCTCGAACAACCAGGGTTTGTAACGTGGCGCCGTCTCCACGGCAACCGACAGGATGTCACAGCCGGGATTATGACTTCAGGCGCGGGGATTCCGAGAAGGGGCTGGGGGCGGCGCCCCCACCCCCACCTCGTCTCGGGAGCCCGCGACCCACGCCCCCACTGCGGGGAGCGCCCGCCACGGCCGCGCTGAGCCCCAGGCTGGGCATGGCGCTGCCGCGCGCGGCCCCCAGCCCTACGGGGACCGGCGCCCGCGGGCTCCGCACGCCCGCACCCCGAGCCCGCTGCGGCCGAGCAGCCTCGAGCGGCGGGGGCCGCGGCGGGGGCGGGCCCCGCAGACCCTAAGCCCCGCCCCTGGGGCGGAGCCTGGCGCCGGGGAGTGTCAGGAAGAGGAAGAGCGCGGCGCGCCGAGCAGGGCCGGGCCGAGGCGAGCGCCGCGCGGCCACCATGGCCACGGACGAGCTGGCCACCAAGCTGAGCCGGCGGCTGCAGATGGAGGACGAGGGCGGCGAGGCCGCGGAGCCGCCGGGGCTGAATGGCGCGGCGGCGGCGGCAGGGGCGCCCGACGAGGTGGCCGAGGCGCTGGGCAGCGCGGACGACGAGCTGAGCGCCAAGCTGCTGCGGCGCGCGGACCTCAACCAGGGCATCGGCGAGCCGCAGTCGCCCAGCCGCCGCGTCTTCAACCCCTACACCGAGTTCAAGGAGTTCTCCAGGAAGCAGATCAAGGACATGGAGAAGATGTTCAAGCAGTGAGTGCGCGCCCGCGCCGGCCCCCGCCCACCCCGCGCCGCCCGCTCGGGCTCCCCGGGACCCCGACCCGCCGAGGCCCCTTCCAGACCGTCCCGAGGCTTGAAGACCCGCCACCCCACCACGCGGTTGGGCTGGAGACCCCCCCCCGGGACCCTGGCGTGCGACCCCTCCTCTTGGCCATGCCCGCACCCCGTAGAAGCGCTCTCCGAGTGTGGGGGGGGAGTCTCCCGGAGGTCCTTAGGGATCATGGCGAGCCCCCACCGCCACCACACACACGGATCCCGGGACACCAGGTCCCGGGCCCAGGACCTCCGTACACCAAGAGGGAGGACCCGGGGCCTCCCTGCTCCCCCATCCCGCGCTCCCCACCCCCACACACCCTGGTCAGATCCTCCCAGCCCCGGTGCCTCTGTGCCGTGGGCCACACACATTCCTCTCTCCTCTGTCGATTTCAGCTGCCCCTCAGTGTGGGTTCTGGGTTGGGAGCCCCCTTCCCCTCCAGCTCTTCAGTACCCACTGGCAAACCTCGGGCAGAGACTTCAGCCCCTTCCCCACCACACCCACCCTCCCTGCTAGCCAGAGGCCCTCAAGTGGTCTCCCCAGAGAGAGGGACCCCCGAGTCCCTGTGCCCCTGGGCATGGCCCCACAGGGTGAGTGCCCGTGGCCCTGCCTCCTCGTGGCTTCTTCACCCTCTGCACTCAGCAGCTGTGCAGTCCCAGCCCCCCTGCTTCCTGTCAGAAGACCCCAGAGCCCTGCACCGGCTGTAGTGAGAAGGGGACCCCTTCCTCTCTGACTTGCCCAGTCCCCCCCTCACCCGCCCTCTATTCCGGGTAATTCCACGTGCTGTGCCCTCACCAGGTTAACCGAGCACCACCACCCCCAGAAAAGCCGGTATCTGTGGTTGACTTGAGGGAGGGGCTCCGACCACCCCCTAAGCCCGCCGTAGGGTGCGCAGCTGGCGAAGGTGCCCAGGCTTCTTCCTGCTGCCCATCCCCCTGCCCCGGCCCCCCGGGGTACTGGTGTGGAGTGGGTTCTGGAAGGGACAGAGCCACGCAGGGGCCCGCCCACCACAGGCAGCCCGAGGCCGAGGGAAGGGAGCACAGAGCTGGCTCCACTTGGGCTGGGCTGGGCTGGGCTGGGCGGGAGGCTGCGGGCAGGCCGGGGTGTGGGTGTTAGCACCCAGACATCAAGCGGGGGAGTCCAGGATGGGGGCATTTTGCAAGCCCACAGCTTGGGAACAGCTCTTGCACTCTTCTCGTTTGCTGCATCCACATCGTCTGTGTCTGGTCCCCTGGGAGAGGAAGAGGGTTTGGGTTCCCAGAAGTCGGGAGCCCCACGCTTTCCCAAGGGTCAGTGTAGGAGGAAGCCAAGTTCTTGGCCACGCCCCTCTCTGTGTGCAAGTCCTGGGGCCCTGAGGAGCTGCCTCTGGCTCCAGGGCCTTGCTGGGAGCACACGAAGCTTTCTTCCCAAAGGCGGAGCGGGATCCTCACCGTTCCAGGAAGAGCAGAGTGAAGACGCGCTGAGCTGTAGGCTAGCTACAGCCTCCCTGGCTGACTTCCTTGTAGAGCCCGCCCTTGGTGGAGGCGAAGCACAGGGCGCACACACACACACACACACACACACAAGAGTCTCCCTGGTCCCCAGGCCGATCAGAGCCAGGAGCTCAGCAAGCCTCCCCAGCCATCCCTGACACGTAACTCTCTTTACTGCCCTCGTGCGGAGAAGTCTGGGCACAGAGGAGTTGAGCAGCTTGTCTAGACCACACAGCCAGAAAGTGACGGAGTCAAGATTCGAACCCATGTCTGTGACTCCAGAACCCGTGTTCTTCCTGCCTGGGTTTCCCGTCACAGACAGCTGCTTCCACTTCACCAAGCCACTCAACACTGCTGCCATGCTCAGGGCCCCTTTTTTTTCATGTCTGCTTCCACGGACTCCCTGCCAGGAGCTATATGGGGAATGCCCCGACCCCCAGACGGAGCAGGACTTGCGCGGGGGGAGGGGGGGCTGCAGCTCGCCTGGGAGAGACAGTGGCGGGGGACATGGTCTCGAAGCTGCATTCACACAGCAGACGCCACACTGGCCAGTTTGGTGCTGGCTCCACACAGGCGTGGAGCCCCTGCAGGCCGCCTCTTGGCACCAGCACTGTTTGCTGGGCGTTAGGAGAGTGAGGGGCAGGAAGGGGCCAGGAAGCTGGACCTCTAGGGAAGGCAGGGCCGCCTGCCGCGGGCCCTGGCCAGGGTGGAAGGCTGCGGATTCTGTATTCAAACAAGGCTGCACTGTGGCAGCCAAGCCAGGCCCCGCCGAGTCCCGGCTGTGAACAGTCAACAGACAGACCCTCACAGAGGACAAAACCCCTGTTCTGTTTCTACTGCCCCAGCCGGGCGGTTGCCTCCTGGGTCCCAGCAGGCCCCAGGGATCACAGCCAGGCCATGAGAGCCAGGGCTCTGCTGAGGACAGGGCAAGGGAGGGGACTGTCCTCCGGGGAAGCCGCTCGCCAGAGCAAGCAGCAGCAGACAGAGAGGCCAGACAGGGAACTGAGAACGGGCCCTGCCTTGCTGGCCAGGAGCTGGGAAGCTGGGCCGGCCTCCCTCCCTCCGTGGCTGCTCGCCCTCTCTGGGTTTCAGTCCTACCTTCTGTAGCAAGAGCGCGTGGTGCCCAGCGGTTCCCAGGAGTCTTCCGGCTTTGACATTTCTGGGGTCCTGAGCCCTTGTGGATGTCAGAACCGCCCTCCGGGGACTTCTGGTTCGTGTCTGCAGTGGTGACTCCTGCTGGGGATGGAGCTTGAGGGAGATGAGAGGACGGCGGGAAGAGAGCTCTGCCCACGTGGATCTCACGCCCACAGCCCGCGGGAGACTGCAGCTGCCTCCATCCCGCTCCCCAGTTTGTAGGATAGGAACTGAGGGTCCCAGGGATGTTCTCGCTGGCTGAAGCAGAGCGAGCTTGTCTGGGTAACAGGTAGCGGTTGTACGCCTTTTAGGGTGAGGCTCAGGACAATGACACACACGGAGTGCCGGCCTCAAGCTGGGCACGAGGGGCACTCATCATGGAGCCTGGCGTCTACTCACCCCCATGCGGCCTCACCCTTAATCCCCATCTCTCCTCTCCTCCCCTCTCCTCTCCTCTCCTCTCCTCTCCTCTCCTCTCCTCTCCTCTCCTCTCCTCCTCTCTCTTTCTCTCTCTCTCTCTCTCTCTCTCTCTCTCTCTCTCTCTCCTTTCATCCAGGGCTGTCTCTGGACCCCTCCAGGCAAGGGACACAGTAGGGTAGGCCCAAGAGCCTCAGGTATGCCCAGCTCTGGGCTGGCAGCAGCCTGGGTGGGGCTCGGGAGGGTCTGTAAGCCGACACCTGCTACATTGTAGCACTGAAGCCACGTGGACTCTGAGGACAGTGCCCTAGTTCCATCTCGCCCAGCCCTGCCAGCCCAGTCCCCAGACGCCGCATCCCCTGCCCCTGTGTCAGAGGGCAGGCGTCCCTCCCCGTCTGGTGGTCTCTGCCCCCGCAAGCTCCTGAGGCCCCCTGTCTTCCCCACCTTCCACCTGCGCCCCCTCCCGGGTATCTCTTCACGTCTGGCCTCTCCGGCAGCCACTGAGAGTAGGGCCTCCGGGGTTTGCAGCTCTGGGTTTGAATCCCAGCTGAGGGCCTGGAGGGAGTCGTTTAACTTCCCTCACCTTGGGACAGGGCTAAAACAGCTCCCAGCTCACAGGACTGCTGTAAAGTCTAACCCCATGCTTGGGCAAGACCCGGTGCGTCCTGCCTTACCAGCAGCATCACGTCCAGCTCGTAACACCCCCTCTCCAGGCCTCTCTCAGTGGACCCTTGTGGTGGTCACTGAGCTGGCGCCCAGGTGGCACCACAGTAGCCCCTGCCACCTCCACTTAGCCCCGACGCGGCTGCCCGGCTGCCAGCAACCCCTGTGCTCGGGGCCGCAGTGGTGGGGACCCAACGTACGACTCCTTTTTCCGGAAGAACAAAAACCCAAGTGGAGAAGTGAGTGCATTGTCACTCAGTGACGCGGAAGGCAGGTGGCAGAGGCGAGGGAGGCACAGACAGCAGCCCTGGAGTGACAGATCGGGGGCTCTCTGCCCGGGGTCCTGAGCTCCTCTGAGCCTCAGTTCCCCTTGGGGCTGAGGGTTTGGTGTGAAGAAGTCCAGAGCCTGTGTAGAGGGCCCGTCCCAGTGTCTGCTCCACACGTGACC